GGGGGAATCAGATAAGGACGCCTATATTTACAAGGTAACGTCTTTCTTGGCAGGTTAATTAAAATTCACCAATTCAATTTCGGTTAGGGAATCGTACTTGCACGGGTTGCAACATTGATTATCGCCCAGTCACGTCAGGATGGCGACTGTTGAGTGTGAGCTTTCCAACCAGGGTGATGGAGTCCCACCTGATGCGTGCATAGCTGGTGGATGGTGAAACGACCGTCGGAGTAGGCTAGCTGCGAAATAAGCAGGCCTTCGGATCTGAAGAATGAGCCCCACAAACTCTGCAGCGGTAATGTCATCATGCACGGTATTCAACTGATTTGACGAATTGGTTGCATCTGCAGTGGGCCACAAAGTAAGACGGTGTCTCTACATTACAAATGTTGCCCGCTTACTCGTATTGTGGCGGAGGGTGGTCAGGAATACCCTAACACAAAAGGCCCACTGCCATGGCAAGATACGTCTGGAGTCGTTTACCGGATCTGGCGTAGTTTCGGGCAAAGCAACTACGTCGGAAAAACTGGAAGTCTGCTCTGGACGCGAATTGCCGAACACGCGGAAGCAGTGCGGAGAAATGACGTCAACTCTGAGGTCGTGGCCCATTCGACGAGACCCGATCACACATTCAAGTTCGATGAGGCCGAAATTCTCGCGAGAAGTGATAATTACGTGAGCCGCGATTTGTTTGAGTCATGGTTTACGGGATTCCCGTCTATCAACAAGTGCAACGACATCCGAAGTCCATATTCCGTGCGGAGGCATAGGCTGGCCAAAGTAATTGACCACGGGGGGAGCGCGCAGGCCGGTGAGCCAGATGGCCGAGCAATCATAACGCCAGCATCCAACACGGGTGATGAGGTTTCATCAATTAACAACCTGCACGCCGGCCATCAAGCAATTAGCGCACTAGCGGGCAACAATCGTCGATGGAGGGAGAGCAGTTAATAATCATAGGTACGCTGTAGCATAGCGACTGTATCCTATAAATACTGTAACTTCCTGTGCACAAATCGCCCTTTTCTGTCACTGTCTGTGATGATAGGTTCGAGCGAGAATCCGAAACGTCAGGCGAATGAAGCCCCTGTTCCAGCGATCATTTCTACGTCTTATCAACTAGTTCCTGGAACTCGCATCTTCGCTTGTATCGGCTTTGAAAAATCGTGGCAATCCTTGCTCTGTATGATCGATTGGCGGTTTTCTGGGTTTTGGAGTGGACGAGTAGGCAGTCAGTGACGGATTTCCACTCCTCGAAGAATTTCCCAAACAGCATTTGGGAGGATGGGATCATTGTCTCACTAGTACGTCCTCCTAACTATGAAGTACTTTAGGCATCGTTTACGGCATATCTTCTTGTAACTGTTACGGCAACTCAGCGTCGACGCCGTGGCATCCGCTGTCTTTATCGTATGCATGAACTTCTGTTCGCCCCATTTCAGTATATTTCTGAGGAACATGCCATCAGCTTCTATGACCGCACACAGATTCGTGATCCGTTTCGTTTGTATCATCCTTCTTGCCAATGGTCATTCGTTTTTTTACTTTAAAGGCATGCTTACGAGGCGCGGAATCGAACCAAGGAGGAGAAGGAAGCCAGACTTGCCGCTGCGGTAAAGTCTACGTTGTAGGAGAAGTGTGCACTCCACTCCCCTCTGGCGACCCCCAACCCACTCCACTCCATCGCCTGCGCACATTCCCTCTCAATTACTTCTTCTCCCTCAATTACCAGCGCCTTTTATCTCTCTGCTGCTTCCTGTGTGACGGGGGAGGGCAGTGGGAATGTGAAAACGTACCCCGCAATCCCTAATTTAAACCCTCTGATTTGCCCAGTCTTTCAGTAGTGTTGCCCACTTCGTCCCACTTCGAACCAATTACGGGTGTGGGCAAGAACAGGCGTTTTAGTCTCAACAAGTGCTCTGCCCCTGCTCAGTGGCGCGTTTGAAAGAAACCGTGTTATCAGCCCTCCACCATCCGCAAATTCCTGCGCGATAGCGTCAACCTCATTCCAACGGCAATAATCCGCTAACTTGTTTCGTCTTTTCCTTCTGTTTTATTTTGTTTACACGCAAAGATAATTTCCGTGCGACATGCATCTTATTCCTAACTTAGTAAATTTAGGAGTCGGGTAAGGGTGTGCGTGCTGGAGGGTACCGAACATGAAAATAAATAGATGTCTCTTATGAAGTCTAAACTTCCTAGGCGACGCGAAGCTGTTCGTATCATGGGCATCTTTTGTTTCGTTGTCGATGACGTAGGCTGTGGGTGGAGCCAACTTCGTCTGCCGTTGTTAGTCATTGCCCACTGGAAGAGCACCGTCCACGACGTCATTAAAGTTGGCCGGCTAGACATGACCAGGGCCGCAACGAGTGCAAAGCGTCCACTGTTGTAGAAAGATTAGGAAGAGGAGTATCAATGGAGAAGACGGGTCGTCGCTCCGAACTCAATTCCAGCATAGACTCGAGGAAAATCGTACAAAGGAGTGCAAATGTGAGAATTAGGCAGTGGGAGCTGCCTCGTGCCTTTGTGAGCGGCAGAAGTAACCTTGCTGATATCTATAGCTGATGGGATCGAAAATGTTCTGGTACACTCGATCCACCTTGTTCAAGCTAGGTTACCGTTTACTGGACACTCATTATTCCTACTCCTCCCCCGTTTAGGGCAACGGTGCTGTCTGTGTAATTCTAATATCGTCTCCCTACCACTCAGGTGCTGGGTCTTCCCGGGCAACGGCCATAGGACACGCCACGAGGTCTGCCCTTTCCGCTCCTCTAGAGTTAGTTGGTTGCGAAGGCAGTAAGCGCTTGGAAATCGGTTGACGGCTAGGCTACTCACTTAGCTTGGCCTCATGGCTTGACTGGGCTTACTGGCTGTCTCTCAGTGTCCAACGCGTTTCGTGGTTTTCAGCGGTAGACCCACTCCGGAATTGTTTGCGGAGGCCGGGAGTCTCATTCCTCTCTGACCTCTGAGTTTATGTCACTCCAAAGGCTACTGATCTGATTTCTTCTCGCAGCCAGGTATCGAATCTAGCTTGGAACTCTCACAGGGGTTTCTGTTGTCGGAGTTATTCCGTCATTACCAGGAGGATGGACGGTACGTGGACCGATGATACTCAACGTAAACTTTCCCGAAGTCAGCCGGCAAACGCGTATTTTCGATTATACGCAATTATATTAGTATCAAATAGATTGTAGGCGGACGTCCAGTACGATGATCTTTTGCATTAGAGACTAGGGCAGAGGTCGAGCTCGGGCCTCCGAGCTTTTTTCTTCAACGTCGTAGAACAAAAGCACTCTGCATGGGACATATCGAAAGGGCCCATCTTGGCGTGCTTTAAGAGCCGCACCAAAACAGGGGAGTATTTATCATGAGGCCTGAGATGAGTTTTAGTATTGTCCTGGTGACGAAATGTGATTACCCGGGAATTCAGATCCTGGCTGATGAGGTCGGGTTGGGAAGATAAACACAAAATTCAGGCCAAAACAAGTCAAATGCGACCCAACTGACGAAAGGCGAGGGACCAAAGCTTCCGCAACGTATGAGAATTCTGGTACCTTAACCGTGTTGGGACAAGCCCCCTAAGCTTTATAGCCTGTCAAAGATTCACAAACTTGTTAATATGTACTTTCTTTGATACTGTGGCGCATGCTTTTGATAGATTTTTTATGTGGAGCATAAAGCCAGATGTGTAGAGGTTGGTTTGAAACTTCAGATACTTGCCTACCTCCTAAAATGTTAACCGAAAGTCTGAAATGTGTTTCCACCCAGGAATGATTGCTTGGGGGGTTTTGTGAAATGAACTATCGTGCAGCGTAAACTCGGATATTTCAGTCAGGACATGATGCCGGCTTTTGAATAAGCTTTATCCTGGTGCCTGTGAAGACCATACTCCGTAAAAAGTGACTTTGGCAGTTCCTTGTCAACTATCGTAGCCTCATCCGCTTAGATGTCAACGCCGATACCCCGCCGCACCATATGCCTTTCCCATCCCACTCGTTTCGCACCTACATGTCTTGTCCTTAGTGTAGGATTTGATCATACTGGCTGTCACTCAGTGTCCAGCGAGTTTCGTGGTTTTCAGCGGTAGACCCACTCCTGAATTGTCTGCGGAGGCCGGGGGTCTCAGTCCTCTCTGACCTCTGAGTTTATGTCACCCCAAAGGCTACTGATCTGAGTTCTACTCGCAGTCAGGTATCGAATCTAGCTTGGAACTCTCACAGGGGTTTTTGTTGTCAGAGTTATTCCGTCAGTACCAGGAGGGTGTGTCAGTTCGGTACGAGGACCGTTAAGGCATAACGAGTTGCAATCAACTGTTTTTGCTGGCATGTGTCGCCAAATAGTTCTTTGATGATACCCAGCGTAAACATTCACGACGTCAGAGTTGGCAAACGTGTATTTTAGATTATACACAATCATATTTGTATCAAATCGATTGTAGGCGGCCGTCCAGTATGATGATCGTTTGCAACATCGTAGAACAAAGGAACTCTGCAACGGACATCTCGAAAGGGCCCATCTTGACGTGCTTTAAGAGCCGCACCAAAACAGGGTAGTACTTATTATGAGGCCTGAGGAGAGTTCTAGTATTGTGTTGACGACGAAGTGTGACGACCCGGAAATTCTGATCCTAGGTAACGAGGTCAGGTTCGTAAGAGAAACACAAAATGCAGGCCAAATGTGACCCAACTCGCGAAAGACGAGAGACCAAAGCCTCTGTAGCGCAGGAAAATTCTCCTATCTTACCCGTGCTGGAACAAACCCCACGGACACCAAATCTTGGCGGGTGCTTCCGTATGTCAATAACGTTTCGGAAACTGCCGCCTTCTCGCACCACTTGGGGTTGGAGTTGCACACAACCGGAGGCAACCATCAGGCGTTTGGGAATGAAACAGAAAGACCCACTGCCATGGCTAGAAACGTCTGAAGTCGTTTATCGGATCTGGTGCAGTTGCGGAAAAAGCAAATGCGTCGGAGAAACCGGAAGACAGCTCCCAACGACAATGGCCGAACACGTTGCAGCGGTGCGGAGAAATGACGCCAGCTCCCAAATTGCGGCTCATTCAACGAATTTCGGCCACACATTCAAATTCGATGAGGCCGAAATTCTCGCAAGTGGCGACAACCGCGTGAGCCGGGAGCTGCTTGAATCATGGTTTATTGACCCCCAGTCCATTAACAAGTGCAATGAACTTCCCCTTCCAAACTACGTGTTGAGACTTCGCCTAGGCGGAGCAATTAGCCACGCCCGGAGCGCACATGTGAACACTTGCCCCAACACCAGGGTCGGTGCGTCAGATAGTCGAGCCATCATCACATCAACATCCAACGCACGTGATGAGATTGCAGCAATTAACGACGCCAATGTCAGCCATCAAACAATTAGCACACCAAGTGAGACGATCGCGGATGAAGGGGGGGGGGGGAGTCGTGAGTGTTCATGGGTATGCGGTAGCATGGCCACTGCATCTTATAAATACTGCAGCCCCTTGTGCGCGAATCACCCGTATCTGCTGTTATCTCTGATGATGGATTCGAACAGGAATCCGGAACGTCAGGCTAATAAAGCCCTTGTCCCAGAGATCGTTCCTCCTTCTTCAAAACCCCCTAAGATTTATGGTCTGTCAATGATTCACAAGTCTGTTGATATGTACTTTCTTTGATACTGTAGCGCATGTTTTTGATAAGATTCTTATGTGGAACTTAAAGCCAGATGTGTAGAGGTTGTCTTAAAACTACAGATACTGGCCTACCTCCTAAATTGTTAACCTGTGAAGACCATACTCCGTAAAAAGTGACTTTGGCAGGTCCTTGTCAACTATCGTAGCCTCGTCTGCGTAGATGTTAACGCCGACACCCCGCCGCACCATACGCTCTCCCCAGCCCACTCGTTTCGCACCTACATGTCTTGTCCTTAGTGTAGGATTTGATCACCGGATACAGTATGGGGTCCCCTGCCGTCGGAAGACCCTCAGCGTTGAACTGGTCGGAATTTTCCATCATATCACGTCGTCTCCCTGGGGTGTTCACAGGTCGGGCCCCATTACTTCGAGTTCCTGTGCATGAATTCCCGGTTCCGCGAAGTCTTCCAAATCTCAAAGAATGCTAGTATTCCACGACATGCTCTATCTCGTCACATGAAGCCTATGTCTCGTTGGCCTGTTAGAGCAGTGCGCATTCGTCGAAACCCATCATAAGCAACAGTTTCAGGAACTGCGGCCAGCGTTTATCACGTACCGCCTTTCCAACGAAATTGTTCTCATGCACTAACGCATCACACGGGCTTATTTGAGTCTATGCGTTTATTTTACAATGGCTACCGTTGTATACTGTCGCTGTATTAAAACTGGCCCACCTGGAACCATTGAAACGTATCAAACGTCATCGTTTGTTGAGTCGTCAATCAGTTGGGCTAACTCCATCCTCACCCGAACGAGGTCCAGACTGTAACAGCTTGTTATTAACAGGACTTTCACAACACATATCACCTTTGCGCGATCTGACGGTGTGCGACAGGTGTCAGACGCCCGATTCTACAAAAATGAGATAAGTCACTTGACGGTGATCAAGGTCGATTTACTGCGTTGTGCTATCACATTCCGAGAACTACCATCCCCCTCAACCCTAACCGTCCATATGAGATCCGTACCGAAATTTCGGTCGCCGAACTCGCCTGTGACGCTCAATCATATCTCTAATCTGCTGGAAAAGCTGCTTTTCACGCCGACGCCGCTTGTCTCGAAGATGGACGTACCTACACCCCATTTGTGGATCCAGAGCATTCTTAAAACCATCATGTTAGTGCTCGTTTGAAAGGGTTTTTTGGTAGGAGGTGGGGTGGGGTATAATTTACAAAGCCGTCAAAACGGCTTCCACGTGTGATCATGGCATCTGGTATGTTGTACATACCACGCGCGATCTCATTACTCATTGTTTGACATGTCCGGATAGTCGGTTAATGTATGGAGGAGGGGAGGCAGAATGAGACCGACATTGGAGACTGCATCCTTAAATGCGTGTGCTGCGCTTGCACCTCTCATGACCTGTCACTACTCCTGGCTTGAAATGTTCACAACTGACGAGATATAATCGTCCCTATCAGGACTGCGAGTCGGGCTGCACTAATTCCTTGTCCTTGTGGCTTTTATGGCACCCCCACCGATGTGAGACCCCGGCTGCCTGGTACAAGTATTGAAGACTAAATGGCCGGATGTGGTTATGTAGCCCCACCTGAAGTAAACAAAACCCCGTCACATCTAATACGAGCCCGGTAGCAATAGGGGTTTTTGCAGGTGAGGCCTAGGGACGACGAGGTCAAGTAGTTGTATGCAAAAGAAAAGCTATAGGGAATGCGCGGTTGTGCTTTGAACGGTTGAGAAATAGTTGCGCTAACCCCTAACCTTAGTCCCTAACTACAGCCTCTAATCCTAACCCCTAGCCATAACCCCTAACCCCGCTCTCATTAGTAGTGTGTCCGGTGGTACCGAGAAAGACAAAGGAGACCGGAATGGCCATTTCTGACTTATAAGCCGTCATCAGTCAGTCATTCCCACCCCAAGTGTGGATCACTTGGAATTCAAAGCCGGGATCTTTGGTCATGGAGTTTGCACTCTACCATTGAGCCAGGGGTCCGTTGTCCTGTCGGTTGTGTCGGTACCACCTATGTTACATCTACTACAAGTCGCTGCGCGACTGCTTGCGAGGGTTCTAACATGAGCCCCAAGGCACAACTGAACGAGCATGTTCCGTAACCTGATCGGCGAGCGCCCACTGTCATAATTAATATTCCCGATCACAACCGACAGGACAACGGGCCCGTGGCTCAATGGTAGAGCGTCAAACTCCATGACCAAAGATCCCGGGTTCGCATCTTAAGTGATCCCCACTTGGGGTTGGGTATGACTGGCTGATGACGGCTAATAGGCCAGAAATGGCCATTCCGGTCTCCCTTGTCTTTGTCGGTATCACCTTCTCAACATATATCACTAGTCGCTGTGCGACTGCCTGCGAGGGTACTAGTGGGAGCTCCAAGGCACAACGGAACGAGCATGTCCTGTAACGTTATCGGCGAGCGCCCACTGTCACAGTAGTGTGCCCATCCGGTGTGGCCACCAAATCACATCTTACAGACTAAACTGTAAGTGACACGTGGTTACGGGCTGTTTATCTTTGCCGGACACTTCACCCACGCCCAATTCCGCGCGTCATTATACTGTCCTGACGCCCGAACAAGGCAAGGGAGGGGGATGACAGTGCAGTTGGGGCTGCGCAGATCCGCCTCATTATAAAGTAATCTACTCGAAAGATTGGTGGAGTTCACGCACTGGTATACTGTCACTGGGACCAGGCAGCGTTTATAATGCCAGAAAACAAGAGAAACCGCTCTTCTTCCTTTCAACCAAGTATATTAGCGTCGCGGGCTTTGGTCTATATCACATCCACGTGGATTTACTTGGGCCGTTACTCCATTCTCATGGACAGGCGCATACCCTAACAGCCACTGACCGTTTCATGCGATGACCGAATGCTGTTCCTACGTCGGATGCTTCCCCAAAAGAGTCGATATGCTGCCTTCTTACTCCACTTAGAGTTGGGACTACACACAGGTCGGAGGCAACCATTAGGCGCCATGTCATGAGGCCTAAAGACCCAGTGCTACGGCAGGAAAAGTCTGAAGTCGTTTACCGCATCTGGTGCAGTTGTGGACAAAGCATTTATGTCGGAGAAACTGGAAGATTACTCCGGACGCTCGTGGCCGAGCACGCAGCAGCGATGAGGGAAAGAACATCGGCTCTCAGAGGGCAGCTCATTCCACAGAATCCTGCCATATTTTCAAGTTTCAAGAGGCCGAAATCCTCGCAAGGGGTGACAACCGCGTGAGCCGCGAGCTCCTCGAATCATGGTTCTCAGGCCCGCAATCCACCAACAAGCGCAATGATCTCTCGGTACCCAGTGGTGAAACATTCACTGAGCAGGGAAATCAGTCACGTGGGGAGGGCGCTCGGGCGAGCAATGATCCCAGTGACAGCGAATCGAATTGCCGAATGATCATCACGTCCAAATCCAACACGGATGATGAAATCGTGGCCATTAATGACTCGGACGCGGACTGAAGAGCTATCATTGTATCAATTACGGCCCTGGCGGTGATCGCGGGAGCTTTTGGTTATAGTACACGTGTGGTTCCACCACAGCTACGTATTATAAATACTGCACTCCATGTGCCTCTAATACTCCTGTCTGTGACTGCCTTTGATGATGGGTTCGAGTGAGAATCCGAATTATCATGCTAATACGCTTCTTGTTCCATTGATCACCTCTTCTTCTTCTCCTTCTGATTCTTATTTTGCTTCTTCTTCTTGCTTTGCCACGGTTTCTGGATTCCCGACGTCATTTTTCTAGTCACCGTTACCA